TCGTCACACCTTGGGCGCGAGTCGTTCAGGGGGAACACGCGCAGCCCAAGTTGACGGTAGGGGCGTCGAGGGGAAACGTGGTCGGCTTCACCGCAGTGAGAGCAGATGGGTCGTCGCTCCGGTGTCCTCCATACGTCGGTTTTTCTTGGCGCCGGTTGGCCTTGGCGGTCGTACTGATGTCGTTCATCGTGGAGTCGGGGGGTGCAGCTGCGTTGGTGAGTCCCGTCGTGGCGCCACTGGGACATGTCAAGCAGCTGGCGGCGCTCATCAGGCCATTGCGCCGTAGGTCAGCGTCGCCTTTTGGGTGCGACCACGGTAATAGGGGTACCTGGCAGGTACGCTCGCTTAACCTCGTTTCGAACAACCTCGGCGATGGAGATTGAGGCCGTGCGCTCAGCAGCCGCAATAAGGCTCTTAAGCTCCTCCCGGACGACGTCGCGGATGAGCTCATGAATGCCCAGAACGCTGTGTTCAAGGTTGCAAGAGGGGCTGCGGAACCGCACTGACGTCAGGTAGTTCTTGGTAATGGCTGGCACTGGCGAGAAGAGCACGCTCGATGTTGGTGGCTTCCGTGATGAAACCCTCGATGGTCGTAGGTGGGTTCCGCACAAGGCCCCCGAAGATGGTCTTTTTCACACCTCGCATTACAACCGCGAGCTTCTTTGCTTGGGGGGGGGGGGGGGCGGGGCGTCAGGACCCGCGCAGTAGCTGAGCCGAAAAACATCGACAAAGCTAATGACGCTCTGGTTAGGGCCTTGAACCCTCCCTTGATGAAGCTCTTCGGTGAGTGTTGGTGAATGTATATCGGAGCTCAGCCTTGGGTTGTTCTCAGGAGGAGACAGATGTTTCGTGGTTCTCAAACCAGTTTCGTGCCCTTGCCTCTGGGGCGAAGAAAACTTTCTGAAGTCACTGCTTTGCGGTCCACCCGTTATGGCGGGCCACTCGTTCGTACTGCTGGACCCAGTCGTCGATGTCTTCGCAGCTTTCGTAATGGAAGGGAGTCGGTGTCTAAGAAGCGACGGGCAGGCAGACGACGGTAGGTGAAGCTGTGGACTGCGTCGTTGGTGTGGCCATCGTTGGCTTTGTTTGTGCTGCCTTTTCCGGAAGGAGCTCAAACACAGGAGTTTGGTACCGATGTCGGCGGCTGTCACGAAACTCGGGTCTGTCAACAAACATTCTCACTCAAATCGGGATCGCTGAACGGGTTCTCGGGGGTGTACTCTTCAAGGGTTGCATACCACGCGCCTCCACCAAAATATCACGAGGGACAAATGATGAGGCGGCGAATAACTGGAAAAAATAAACGTTTAATGGGGCGAACTTGTGCTCCCAAAACATAAAAGAAGAAATTTAGCGTTGCAGGCATCGATGTCTGCAAAACAGCAGAATCGAGCGCTGGAGAGACACTGACTCCAGCTCGCCACGCGTAGCACCTTTCGTACCCCCGCGGGTTTCTAGAACATTCGACGTAAAACGATCGGCGCGTAGACCGTTCGTAACTCAATCAGACGACAACTTTCTCCAAAGAATAAATGAGCAGTCCGCTCGATGCAATCAAATCTGCCTCCGCGTGACAGCTATGCACGGACACCACTCGGCCACGCACGCGCTCGTTCGGCGACGCGTGTGGCAATATGAACTCCAGGTGCTATGAGCGAGGCGACCAACGTGATGACAACAGGCAGGAGAAGAATCAAGGTATAGATGGACAGGAGGGCGGTGGAAGGAGAGTCCTATGAAGACGGCATTTTGATCCTGTTAGGTCACAACTCGTATATCGGGTGAGTTTCAATACGACAATTTCCAGAGGCGCTTTGTATGCTTCCTTCTTCAAATTATCGCGAGCTGAAATTTCCTGGACCCTTTTACGAGGAAGTCCTGCTACCTACCACAAGGTTTTCATATTAAACTTGTGGGAATATTGGATTATCCTCTCAGGCCTCACCCTTGGGTGTCCTAACTCTGCGGCTTAACGCTGAACCGCGGAAGCGGACTCGTCATCGCGACGCCCGCTATGCACTTGAAGCGCAAGTAAAACACAAGACACGTTGATAACAGCAAAAACGTTTATTCAGACATAACAATAATAATAACAACAGTGCTAAATCGCAGGCGGCCGCCGTCAAAACCTGAAGCATCCGACGGTCGACAGGTCACTCACGGAGGACTTTGATCCCGGGAGTGAACGTCCCGGGATCAAAGTCGCACCGAACTGAAGCTGCCGCGCCGCCTGGAATCCCAAACCCAAGAAAGAAGTTTTCACCGGTTTCCGTTCGCTTTATTGGGATACCCGCGGCTAAGCGACCAATAGGAGTGACGTCACGTGCACCTATTGTTCGGAGATTCGAAGATTTTCACTCGTAAGGAAAGAGAAGGGCCGCCCCATCGGTATACGGCGCGGCCAGCCTTCTCGCTGACTCGCCCACGTGGTCGCATCAGCAACATTTTAAGTGTCATGTCAAGTGTTATGAGCCATGGTTCTAACGGCCCCAATTTAGGCTGTAGAAAACATCTGGACTATCATTCGTATCTGCTCGCGCAAGTAACTTTGTCAGCGCTGTGAAACCTATGCTAGCCTTGACAACGTCAAGGAATATCTGAATATTTGATGCTAAGAATAAGCACGCAGCTGACTTCAGAGCTACAAGCAGTTCATTTTAGCGAATACTGAAGTTTTAAAATAGAACACCCCAACGCCTTGAGTGCCCCCCCCCCCCCCCCCCCTTCCCCGAGCGGCTTGGGGTGTCTCACTAATGGCGCATTCACGCTGGAAACGGATCCGCGTTCGAGAAGCGGTTGCGGATGCAGTTTACGAGCGACCCCGTTCAGACACACCGAGAGGCGGTTGGCGGTCTCTCGGCGATTACGCGTGACCTTTTGAGACTTGCGTTTGGCAACCCTGTATTACAATCCAAAATCCACTCTAATCGACAACCCAAAGCCAAAACTTTGAGATTTTGGCACTCTGAAGATTTGTCTCCGAGATGTTCGCACGCATCAGGAGTTCAGGCAGCGAAAAAAAAAAGCATGGACCCGCCAAACACGCCTGTGATTCCTTCGACTTCGCCCACAAGCAAAACCCAGCTAGGCGCGCCTTGCTGACTCAGAACAGGATGCCCCCAATTTTTTCTTCGAAATGGGCCCTTCCTGCATGAATAGCTGACCTTGCTTTCGGGATAGAAAGCCAGTTTTTCCCCCTCGTTTTCTCTTATCAGTTTCGAAGTTGTGATAGCTGGGGTGGACCGTGGTGCAGGGGAATGTGTTCGGTGCTAGCCGGTCGTGGCTTCGTTAGAGGCGGACTCTCCTCTCGTCTCTCGCACGTCGATCGAGTCTACTGTTTGTTTGACATTAAGCTCAAATAAACGCCGTATGGATTACCTCCGCATCGTCTGGTACGTACACTTTATTCCTTGAGTAGGTTCCCTTTATTTCTTTTGTTAGTAGTAAACGGTACAGGTCGAGCTAGTGCGTTGGCTACGCAATCAGGCTCACGGCGTCTCTATCGGCCTTCGCGGTGGTCATGCACGGTGTAGAAAGCCTTCAAATAGTTCACGCGACTATCTTAGTGGGTAGAAAAGTTGATATTTCGACCGATCAGGGGCGGGTTCCGACGTTCTACGGGCAGAGACGAACAACGCAGCGAGCTTCGGGCTGTGGCACCCGGAATGATAAACAAACTCTTACCCGAACCAAATCACCGGTGCGAAGCCCGTTGAAATTACGAGTCGATTCTTTTCACGGCGGATTCAAATGACGGACGTCAACATCACGTTTCTCCGTTGATTTGTCTGCTGTAACGCTTGGACTACAGCGCCTTGGACACCTCACCAGTGACAGGTGCCATCTTGTTTCGAAAGTCACTGACGTCACGTCAGCATCCCGTTGCGATTGGTTGCCGCTTTGCGGTTCGTGAAAGCGGTTGGTAGAAATCGGTCCCGAAGTGGTTGGCAAAAACGCGCTCCAACCGCTCGATCCTAGCCGCTTTGCGGTTGAGTACGCGCGGATCCGCTTAGCGCTTGCGGATCCGCTTCCAGTGCTTCCAGTGCGCAGTTTGACACCACAAGCTGTTTGGGAGACCCAAAGCGTGGGACCCTCTATTATAAAACTTTCCATCCGAAAATTTTAGACTCTCTCATTTACTTTCTATTGTGACATGTGTGCACTTGCGTACTCTGCAATATCTTTATTTTCTGCAGCTGTATTTCGATATTTATGGGAAGAGCAAACTTTTCAAGGCTTATGTTTAGGCCAAAAACAATAAACTTAGGCTCATAACTTGACCCGATAGTAGAAAAGAAAGGAAAGACACATAAAAAGAGACGATGTATGTTGTTCGAACCTTCTATGTCTTTCTTTTCCTTTCTTGTCTCAGTTGAAGCTATGTCAACTTCGACTGGGTCGCCTGCGCACTCAACCTTCTTTCGATCTAATGTCGCAAGTCAGACTTGTTCTGGGAAATGATCAATATACGTAGTAGCAGCTAAATAACGGGTTTGTACTGTTGACACGCATTTCTCTTTTTTTTTTTTTCATCACCATTACTTCCAGAAACGCTTGGATTGATCCTCGCTCAAGCGATGCAGGTAGATAGGGTAATCTATTTGTATTATATGCCCTAAAGAAAGCACTACCTGCACGACATTCGTGCGTAAAGAGATATTTCTTCCAATATATTTTGCACTTCGAACCCATTGCACGGCCGTCGCTATCTGTCACTCTGATATTATATTCAAAGGGTATTTCGTGCTTCATTGCAGTGAATGGTTAGTCTACGCTCCCAACCTGTTCGTGGTATATCGAAATACGGAAATTTCACGGGTTCATCTTTCTTCGGTCGTTCTTTAGAGAACGCATCAGCAGTTAGCAAACTTCGAGAAAGACAGCTTAGCTCCGCCTTTTCTTTTATACATACATTTTATGTATCGAGAATTGTCGCTGCCTACAATTGATGCCTAAACGCGGAAGAAGCGTCTCACCGCCACTACGGTGTTTATTAGTAACTACCACAGCTCGCACCTTGTGTCGGGGTTCATGGGCGTGTTCGGTGGACACCTGAAAGCCTCGGCAAACTTTGGGTAATTCTTCAGCGGAACGTTCACTCTCAGCTGCGCCGGGACAGAATACTTGTACTGAATCTGTCGCTGGAACAACCCTGGTCGGACGCTGTCGCAGTGCGAAACGGCGAAATTCACGAAGAATAGTTTGTCCGTCGTGAGTGATTCCAGACCGGGCACCCTTGTGTTGCGAGGCAGCGGCCTGGCCAGGTGCATCGCCTTCAAGTAGACGTCATGAAGAGGGGGCAGCACAGCGTTGTCCGCCACGTTGTCGTCGAGGTAGCAGTCCTCGTCGTAGTCGGATGCGAGGAGCGTTTGCGCCTCGCTCGAGTACTGGTCTTGGAAGCACCGAAGCCGCTTCTCAAACTGGTCCCTACTTTCGGGCGCCCACCAGCCCACCACCTGGTTCCGCGCGTTTACTGTAGAGCCTCTTCGATCGACCGCTGAAAACATTCCACGGAGTATCGCGGGAGCGATGAGGGGCACAAAGAGTGGATCGAATGTTTGCGAGATATTGTTTGCAAAGGCGATAAGACCGTGAGGAATAAAGAGAACGTTTCTTTCCGGTTTGTACTCCACGACGCCGGCCACGAACGCCGATGTCTGGTACCGGGCATCGAGGTCGAAAGACGAATTGGTGATCCAATAGAAGGACCGTGTTTCGTTCAAAAGCTTGTAGTAACCCAGCAGTGGGTTATTAGGAGGAAAGGCGCTCACAAACTGGGGGTAGTAAGCGTTCATCTCGGCTTCCGACTCCCGGGCTCCTAGAAATTCAACCCTGAGCTTGTCAATCTTCTGCGCGGCCGCGTCAACTTCAACCTGATTCAACCAAGGAGAACGGAGCACACTCTGCTTCATGGTTTCTCGTATAAGATAGAGCAGCTTGTTCATTTCCTCGTCGTAGTGCCAGGAAGGCGACGTCACGTTTTCCTTGCTGAACGTCATCCGAGCCAGCTTACGGATCCAGTGCGGGCACAGATCTTCCAGCATGTGTAGGCAAGCTTGCAGCCGGTCGGGAACGGTCTCCACGTAGTTGTCGTGACTCAGCGGGATCAGAAAATCAACCTCGTTTGGAAGCAACGGTGAAAACTTGACCATGAGGGTGTACCCAACGTAATTCAATAGCGTCTTGAGGGAAAATTTGCGGAGTGTCAAGGCGAGTTTTGAGACATACTCCTTGTCCAGGCAGATAACACTGGACTGCCGATGAAACTGTACGCCGGCGTCTTCCATAATAAAGTTAAGGTACGTAAGCCAGTGCCACATGTTACGTCGCTGAAGCTCTTTGATCGTCGACGTTCTGTTGTCAAACGGCGTGAACCTTCGGGGAACCACAATCTGAAGAAGTCTCTGCTCCAACTGGACGATGTCTTCGGCCGCTTTGGACATGTCGTGATCCGTGAAGATTGACAGCAGTTTCTCGATGCGTTTCGCGTAGTCGGCAACCGATTCGTTGGTGTAGATGAGTTGGTGTCGCTGAAGAGGCAGCTGAGGCGCCTCGAGGTGCACTTTGTACTCGTCCTCTTCCAAATCTTTCATTAGGCTTACTTTCACGAAAGAGTTGAGTCCGATGTATTTGTCCAGAACTTTAGTTACGTCGGAGATGCGCATTACTCGGGAGTCCTTCTTGAAAGGCCAGCCTTCAATTAGGTTTTCCGTGTAAATGCTTTTCAGGGTTACCCAAAGAGATTCCTTCTTCTCAGCATCCGTGCAGTTGCCGAGGAAGAAGAGCAGCTGCAGTGGGAGAACATGAAAGCGGTTACGTGTTTTGATATTCTTTTCTAAAAGAACACCATCCGCTTTGGCACGCAAGAGTCCTAGATCAATATGGGACGAAAAATGTTCAACGTAATGATCAGGCATCAAAAAACGCTTTAATGGTTCAGCGTCTTTCTTAGAAAAATAGCCATTTTGTAAACACAAATGTAAAACCGTTCGGATAAGAGAAATAGTACAAGTAGTTACTATTATTCTCTCTCCCTCCTAAACGATACACAAAAACTTGTTGACCAGAAAAGAATCACCGGATGTGGTGAGTGGAAGTGCTCCGTGGATTAAAACTAGTTGGGAAAAAATGTGACAACTAAGTTCAGAAAGGGCTTTAATGCGAATCACAAACTACGTTGGAAAAAGTTTCCAGATTTATCTGAAAACTTCCATATGAAAAAATTCCATAACAAATGTGATATCTCGCAAGTTTCATAATTGTAGAACAATGTACGACAAGTGTGTTGGGACGATAAGAATTCGAAGATAGAATAAAGAAACTAGACGGAACCAGTCTCGCCCCGAAGCGATCGTCACACCTCCCCCTTCTAGCCTAGCACACAATTGTTTAGCGACGGTCATCCAAACGAGAGCAACTAAATTAACTGAGCTTAGTGTATGACACAGTATTCCCCGATGGTCTTGTGGATGCTGCAGCTGTCTTTGCTGGTGCAGACTCCAGAGGGGGCGCATTCGGCCGTTTACAGGATTCAAAAGTGCGACTTCTCGAACGTTAGACACGCTGTCAGAAACGTCAGGTGGTATAATTTCCCTCTGTCGTGTACAGCTTGAACATTTGCGGTGGACGGATAAGCGTCTCCTTCTATTTTAAATAAGGTTTCAGAGAGCTAAAAACGTTTATTTTAGACACCAAGATAGCCGAGGTGTCGTTACTCTTTTTGGTTAGCTTATTCGGTAACTCAAGTCCGCTCCTCTGCTTGCGTCTTCGAATAAAGATTCATCACCTCACCTGATTGGTGAAGAGCGTCGGGTGGCGAGCGTATTCGGCCGCTCGTGCCCTCTGCAGGTGTGCGAACAGGTTCCGGAGGTCATACATGAGCTGAGCAACGCTGTGCACCCTGTAGGGCCTGGTGTCGATCCGCTGGTGGCTCCGGTACCAGTTCCTGGAACCGCAGACGTAGCCGTAGAAGTCGTTGCAGGGTTCCACAGACGTGTTAAACTTCTCGTAGAGCTGTCGCCCTAAATCAAAGTACGTCCCAGTGTTAATCAAAAACTTTGCTAAGGAAATCTTAAGACCTTTTGTTTTTGTTTCAATACGTTCCCATTTGGACGTTACAAAACTTACAAAGAAGTTTATCCTCCATATTTCCAAATCTACGTGAACTTAACAAAAATAAAGAAAAAACAGAAAAAAACTATACGTGTAAGAGAAAGGAGGGGAAACAGAGAAGGTGTTCGTTGTCCCTGAAAGAAGTGTGACGCCTCCTTGCACCAATCTTTCAAGTCTTAGTGATTAGGGTGGGCACCCCGTCATGACCTTCGGTGGTGAGCACCAGAGCGTCACAGTTCTCGTTCATTAATTAGAAAGGAGTTCCTATGCCGATTGATAAGCCCGAATAGTGGCTGTAGACCACTAGACCCTGTTTGGTGAAGATGCTGCGGTAGCGGAAGCTCAAAGTTCCTCGGAAGGAGACTGCTTACTAGGAGTCGGATCAATGCCACTTGTTGACGACATATCAGAGAGGTTCATTCCAATATTCTCAATAGCTCCTGTGTGGGCAGGTCACGGTAGCGTGGCAGTTGAAGGCAGGCCTGGCGCCTTAGAACCGCAAAAGCAGCTCGTCGCTGCACACTTTCGAGAGATACTGATAACTAGAGTTAATAGGGGTCCCAGACCGCAGCACTGTACTCCAGGTGTGGGAGGACTATGGTAGTGTATAGTTATCGCAGAGCAGTAGCGCCAGCTTCCAGAGTCACCAGAAGCCCTAAACCAAGCATCCGCCGCGCCCTGGTAGTCGCCTCACCGGTGTGAGCTGAGAAATGGAATTTAGGGTCTGTTGTATTTTCAAAGATCCTTGCACGTTTTGCTGTAGGGAGTACTGTGTCGCTCAGCACGAGACCGTACTGAGAGGTAACACGGCTTCTGGATGTTGAGTACTTCCTGTAATTTAGAGAGAATTTGTTTCCCACGGACCAAGTGTGACGAGAATTTAGGTCACCCTAAAGTTGCTGGTACTTGAAGTAGTGCTGAACTCGCTGAATAATGGTGAGATCATCGGTGTAGAAGAGGGGCGTGTAATGCTAGGAATGTGTTACGTAATTAATTAAGATGTTAAACTCAGTGGGTCCCAGGACGTTTCCTTCAGATATTCCCAACAAGACATGTTTAGCGCTTGATACTGCTCCTAAAAAGATAACTTTTTTTGAAACGATCTTGCAGAGTCTGATACCTGCTTGTCAAGACAGCCTAAAATTCCAACCTTGAATAACTTGCAACAAAGTAGTCCATGGTCAACCTTGTGGAACGCTTGTTTAAAGCCTAGCTGAACAAGCTTACACTGGGTGCGCTTACCGATAAAGGAGCTGAGTGTGTGGATGGAAGTGGACAGGGCTGATCCACAACTCCGCCCTGACTAATTTACGTACTGTCAATGTGAGAGAAGGTTTTGCTGCTCGAGGTGAGCAAGAAGCTTTTTGTTAAGGATTCGCTCCGCTCTTCTCCAGAGGCCCATCAAGCCGGGTGGGAACTAGAGGCCTACGGAACACAGCAACATTTTCCTCTATGGTCAACCACCCTGTCAACTGAGCTATCAACATGATTAATTTTAGTTATTAAAAGGCGATTTGCGTGCATTTTTTGTTCTACCTTCGATAACGCATCGAGCATTCCCGTGATGCCAGAGCGCGGCGAAAGGCAACGATCGCGGAAAATGGCGCCATCGCCTTCCCTGCCTGTTAGCCGGACACAAACAGATGCTAACAGGTAGAAGACTGTAACCACGCAAGGCGGTTAACTGATTGGTTTCTGTCGCCATGGTATTTGCATTTTTATATTTTAATATCTTTGAAGATTTGAGAGGGTCGTTTTGTACCAGTGGTGCTAAAATTGCTTTGGAGCGTCAACGTACTGGAAGTGTTTCTCACCAATAAAAACGTCTTTGGCAATGTGTATAAACTCAGCGTATCAATCATGCTTATCTCCATACATCTCTTACAACGTTATTGTTCGTCTTGCGTATTTCAAGGTAGAAAATTTGGTTTTCAATGCTGCCAAGCATCCACACCGCATGTAGTGGCAGTGGGAAGAAGTGCGGTTGTTTTGAGGTTGTGTTGATAAGAAAATCTCGGTATATACAAGAAACAACTTTATAAAGCAACTTTTCACTCGGTATTTGGCTCGGCTCACTAAGAATGAAGAGGTCAAGAAAAACTGCTCATTCCATAATCCAAAATGGCGACCATACGGGGAGCTTAGCGCTACTGTACCAGGGTCCAGTGACTTTAGTCGACATCAACGTTACTAGATCAACTTGGTCGACACCCCGCTGGCGCATGTGCACGATCGTCCGAGGAGAAGAAGGTAAACGCCGTATGGCTAGACCTCGGAAGGTCTGTAACGAGTGCCAAAAACGAACATTACGGTTACGCTGCGGCACGCTCAGGAGGTCTGGCATACACAAAGTATATATGAGGCACGGCAGCGGCACTAGAGCGGATTCAAAAATGGTCGTGAAAATCCTCGTAATCGTACTCACAGATGGCACAAAAACAACGACGGCGCCAAAATGATAGTGAACTACGCAAGCGTTGAGCTGCTATCGCTGTGACACACGTTGCGCGGTAGTGCACATGCCTTTAGATTTCAGTTTATTTTACTTCACCGAGACTAAGAAAGGTAGACCGGAACGAAGGCTAAAATGAAGCAACGCCACGTATCACATGTCACACGAGCACAAAGTGTGCGAAATGCGTTCCGGCGTTTCTGTCCAGACAAAAACGTAACTAGCAGTCATTTCTCCGTGCGATTTCTCAGCACAAAGTACGAGTCACTAAGTCATGAGTCTTTTTAGAGCGTGGTTGATGACGCTCTTAAATGAGATTTATCCGAAGGCTCAAGCAGCGCCTGGGTTCAATCTGTGCCCCATACTACCCTTCGGTAGATGACATAGAAAATGCTGCACCACGGCCTCGGTATTTATTTATTTTATATATTTCAATATCCTCGGGACCCTTAGGGCATTACAGCGGGGGAGGGCATACAAATCCACGCTGGAATAATGCACGCAAAAAAGATGCAACGGAAGAAATTTATCTAAGAGATTTGGGTCCAACTACCTGACCCCGAATCTCCGTATCAGTGCAGAAATGTAACTGTGTGCACGAAGCGAATCAAGTTTTAAGATGTGCTCGAGGAACTAGTCTGTCACGCGTGTGTATGTGACTACTCTTGTGACCTACAAACAAGCCGAAGTTCCTACCGCCACCGCTGAAGCTCTCGGTCGGTTTTTTTTTTAAACACATAGTATACTACGTTTTACGATACGATAGATCGTATGGCAAAACCTATCGAATCCACCGTTATGAACATATCACATGGCTCCGCACTCCGCACATCACAAAGTTCCTCCCAACCTTACTAGATCAACTCCGTTACGGAAGAGCTCACAGATCCAGCTTCTACAAGCAGTGCCCCCACTCCCCCCCTCCCCTAAGGTCCGCCTTCCATCTTTAGACGCGCTACCGTTTAAAGGGGTACTCCACCGATTTTTTGAGCTACCTCAACTAACTATATTTTCTGACTCCCCGGCCTTTACTCTCTCCGGTATGCTATTTAGAATCGCGAAATTCATAATAGTTATTGCGAAATCGGCAAATGAAAATGATGCAAAATCCAACATTCAAATATACGCGCGCTTTTCAGGGCCGTGACGTCAGTGGCAGGCAGTCTTGCCAGTCGAGCAAGCAGCCAAAAAATAGAATATGCCAATCATTTGTTCCGTGCTGGAGCGCGGGTAATTGCAGCGAGCTTCCCAGGCATTCATTTGACACCATGAAACTGCTTCGAATCAGTTTAAAACAAAATCTACAGCCCAAAGAGTGAACCCCTGCCTTCCACTGACGTCACTTTTTCATCGTTGCCAGTAGAGACTTCGAGCTTGAAAAACACGGTGAGGACCAAAACTGTAAATTCAATAACTTCGCGAAAAAACAATATTTTGACCTAATATTTGGGATACTATTTTCGCGATGTTTGTTGGTTAGTTTAGCAAAATTTCAAGCAAATCGGAGACAATGAAAAAATCGGTGGAGTAGCCCTTTAAGGGACGGCCGTTATGGTAATTCATCGTACTTTGTGTGGTAGTAGGAGTAGTGAGACACGTTTATTATGCTAGAAAAACAAAGAACAAGTAGAAAGGGGAGCGCATTAATGGCAGCGAGGCCTCAACGTCATGGCACTCTATGAGATACCGATGTATCCAAGCATACTTTAGGGGCGCATTCTACGGCGAGCAGCAAGCACCGATCGCGGTTGCTGGAATTTGTCACCCGTTTCTCAAGAGGAGTACGAGCAACGACACTGAAGCACCTCTACACCACGCTGGTGCTCCCGCATTTCGAGTGTAACTGCGCGGCAGTCTGGGATCTCCTTCAGGCCACCTTGCATCACTTGAGAGTATGCAGAGGCGTGCAGCTTACACTATCCTGCAGTGGCACTCCCCTCGTGTCCCATGTTATCGAGACTTGGCTATAGACGACCTGACGACACGTAGCGGTTGAAATTCTTTGGCCTTGCCCAGGCGCATCTCATCGACCCGGCTCTTTGCTACCTGCCTCCTGCCAGAATCTTCCGAGCTTCCTCTTGGTCGCCAGCTGCGGCTAAACAGGACCCGTGGCCTTCCGGCACTGTTTGTCCATATAGACCGACACCGACACACCTTCCTTATTAGGATAGTTAACCAATAGCGCTCCGTGCTGTCGGAAGTCAGAGGAGACCTAAAAGACAAAACAGATATAAAGCCAATCTGCAGGGACGCAGTGCGGCACCTGCGGCCCTAGGTATCATGTGTATATTCCTGTTTTCGTTGTTCTTGTTACGTTTTACCGGGCAGGGGGGGGGGGGGGGGGGGGGAGGGGGGGGGAGGTTCTGTCTTCGGTATTTTTCATCTGTTTGTGCATTTGGCATGTACCATCGGGTTCAAATTAAATGCGAACAGTAACAAAACTTTCAGCCCGCTACCGGCACAACTTCCAAGCTTGGGTTGGGCTTGGCGAGGTTCAAACACATCGGAGTAGGACGCACAATCTCGCAGTGCCCGACTACGGTGTGTTTGAATCTCGCTAAGCACAACCCAAGCTTGGAAGCTGCGCCGGTAGTGGGCTCGAAGCTCGGTCACTGTTCGCGTTACATCTGAACCCGATGGCACCTGCGGTATCACAAGCTTTCTGCTATGGGCTGCTAACCTTACTGTGGTGCCGCAACTCTCCAGAATTAAATAAATATCATTATATATATTATTATTATTAATATTATCCTAGTGTATGGATGGCCCTCTCCCTCGTACTCTATGGTCGGAGCACATACAGTTACTCTGCCCTCTGGAATACACAGTTTTGATATGCAGTCTCTAGATGGCGCTTGAAATGAAGGCAAACTAGGGAGCCTTCATACACTTTCGCCACGTCTGTCTTAGGATGGCGGCATCTCGGCCATTTCTATGCCCAGAATGCACGCGCTTCGATCTCGTTCGGAGTGAGCGCTTAGCCCTGCCCGGTGCTTTGGAGCCATTTTCAGGCCCATTAGGCACGCGCAGGCAGCTTTCAATACAACAATGGGCGTCTTCACCCTATGACAGACGCAGATTGAGGCACCCTAAGGCAAACCGATTTAAGGTGGAGACTCGGGTACCCGCTTTGCTGGATTTCCGCGACTCAGTTGACCTATACTCCGTTTCGTAACCGAGAGAATCCAAGGACGTGCGACGTTCGCGTGGCCTTCGAGTGAAAGTGCCGTGACGCGCGGAAATGTAGCCACGTGCTACGCTCGCAGAGGTGGATCGGCTTGGATTGCTCGTTGCGTCGGCTGCGGCTGGACGTTAGGTGACACGCCGCATAGTAAGGTCGGCCCTTCCCGAAGTTCCGGTGACACTCACACCGTTTTGGAATGGCTTCGTTGGCTCGTAGCGCTTTTGTTTTTTTTTGTTTTTTTGCAAGCTGACACGCAGATTTGTCAGAGGCTATAATAGCATAACCCGCAGACGTGCAGGCCATCTAAGGTTGACGGCCTTACCTTGCCAGAGGCAGACGTCGGAGTCACAGGTCTCGACGACAGTCTGGTCCTCCTTGTCTCTCATGGTTCCGTCGGCGTTCATGTCGCCCGAGTCCGGAAGAATGCGTCGTAGAGGGAGAAAGGGGACCCGGGAAGGCATGGTCACCGCTGGGCTGCTGCAGTCGTCGTGAGCAGACGTCGACGATAGCAGCCTTTCCTTGCTAACAAGGCCATGGTCCCTGATTTTCGCTGCGTCAGCAGTTAGCTCTGACTCGTGTTCAGTTAGTGAGAACTCGAGTCCCAATCAAACAATGACTTACCACTCGTGTCTAATCTGCGAACCGCGCTAGCCTCGGGTTTACGGCTCACAAAAATGAGAACTCGACTTGCTATGAAGCACGAATTGACTGGAAACGTTACACTACGACATCGTACTTCCAAACAAACATTTACCCCAAAAACATGTCTCCCTTGCCTTACACCGAGGAAAGGTAATGGTTCGTTGAATGCTTTCACATTCGGTATTAAACAATCTGTATTATTATGAACCAATTTCATTGGTGTCTACCGTATGGCTTTTTACACCGAAGCTGTTATCGCTAGGGTCCCGTGAATTTTTCGTGTGCGTCATCAAAAACTCCATTTTCCCTGCTATATATAGCGGGAAACCTTTCCCGGTAAATTTAGCGGGAAATTTACCCACCAAATTTTGCTCGAAAATTGACGTCACGTGACCTCAAACCAATTCAGTTCCCCGATAAATTTAGCGGGGTAATTGACGTCACATGACCTCAACACCGATTAACTTTGCCCACTATATTTAGCAAGGAAAATGACGTCACGACTACGTGTCACGTCACCCTTGAACAAATTTAGTGGCAGGAAGAGAGGAGGAGGGAAGCGCACCGCCCTCTTTGTCGTCGTTTAAGCGCTTCCGTACCTAGTTCCTTTCCTTCCGCCGGATGGCGGTCCCGTCACGCGTGCCTAGCTTCCTCCGGCTCCTCGGGGCGGCGCTAGTCCTCGACATGTCTGTGCGTACCGTTCTTCACGATGGCCACCGATCAAGAGAATAAACGTGTTCGTAGCTTTGTTCAAACTTCTGTGTCACGACTGTGTCCTGTGCTAATCTGCTTCACTGGTCACCCACTTTCACAGAGTGGAATGGCTCATCATTTTATCTGCTAAATTTTGCGGGAAAATGTCCGGCTATACCTAATATCACGGGTAACAGGTCACGTAAAGTAACGTAACGTCAACACTTCATAAGCAGGAAGACTGTGGTTTTTCTAATCTGGTGCAAACCGCGATGTTCATTTCGGAAACGACTCAAACGAATGCGTCATTAGGAATACGATTCATGCTTCCTCGGTCAGCGGCTTGCCCGCGACGCCCTTGCATCGCGCAGGTAGTCATTCCTAACTGTTTTTGTTTCGAAGAAAAACAAATTCTCCAATGCCAAATATAGGTTGCAGAAGGTATGCACGCAGCAGCAAGGCCACATCACTGGCCGCTGCTGTGACGTCAGTGAAAGATTTAGGGTTTCCATATTGTGTATCACGGCTTTATCCATCGGAATATAAGAGTTTCTTCTTTCAAAGGGCACCCTTCGTAATGGCACTACATTTCATGCTGAGTATATAACGCTGTCACAGCCACTAGCGCGAGCGCGTGGTTTCATCTCTGGCTTCGTTTGCGCGAGAACTCGTGCGAATAATTTGCGAGATTATATCCCATGCTGGCGCCAGCCGCTTCGACAGCGGTGTATACTAAGTATGAAACACAACTCAGGGATCCTGGGTTCAATCCCCACCCCTGCCCGTTTCGATCTGGATGAGCATCGTACCGGCGTGCGGTCGTGTATCACTACTCCGTGATGCACATTAAAGACCTCAGGCCAGCGGTTGTACCGCACTGGCTAAATTGCTTATCTACAGCCGGGAAACTCGTCGCCCGTTGAGGCGGACCAAGTTCTGGGCTGTGTAAACATAAACACAACCCAATTTCTTTATGAAACAGAGTATACACGTTTGCAAGAAAGGCTTCTGTGCGCTGCCATTTTGAGCGATACTGGCGCAGCGTAACGTTTCCGCCATGCTGGAATGCGCCAGCCCTAGAGAAAAAGCCATTTCATGAGAAATAAACACATGAATCATACAAGATATATAAGAACCATATACAAACTATCTAAGAACTATATGATATATAATAACATATAGGAACCATATAAGAAACGTATAAGAAACTTCTCAGAAGTTCCTTATATGGTTCTTATATGTTCTTATATCGTTCGTATATTCTTCTTATATGGGTCTTATATGGTTCCTATACGTTCTTATGTACCTTGTATGATTCATATGTGTTTATTAAGCACAGAAATTGTTCGTACACAAGATTTTTCCAATTATATGCGCAATTTTTCGTGTACGCCATTGGTTGCGCGATGACAAAATGGCGGCGTCTGGTGTATTTATTTATTTATTTATTTATTTATAAATACCCTCAAGACATGAAGCATTATAGAGGGGAGTGGTACAGCAAATACAATAAGTAAAATGGAATAATAATTGGGAAAGCATACACGAAAGAAAATTAAAAAAAAACAATGGTTACAAATGATTAATACACTTTGATACTATATAGTCCACTAGCCTGAAACCGGCAAACACAACGTCTTCTAGTAATACAGTTAAATAATCAATCAGATATATTTTTTAAGGCAGATTGAAACAAATCATAATTAGTAATAGTGGCTATCAGAGAGGGAAGGTGGTTCCAGTCACTGGACGTACGTGGGATGAAGAAATAAAAAAAGGAATTAGTGTTGCATGAAATGACTCCTACTTTGTGTGGGTGATCCATCCGTGACGACATGTATGAAGGTGATGTTAACAGTTCACCGCGTAAAGTGGTGTGGTGGAAAATTTTATGGAACAAACAAAGTCGTGCGTTTTTGCGTCGTGACGCTAGGGAAGAAAGACCTAGGTTAGATTTCATGGAGGATACGCTAGCAGCTCGTTGGTAGTTAGAATATATAAATCGAACCGAGTTATTTTGGATCATTTCCAACTGATTAACGAGAGTTCCGATGCCAGGATCCCATATCGCTGAAGCATATTCTAGTTGTGAGCGCACAATTGTTTTGTAGAACAGTAATTTAATAGAAGTAGGGGCCGAGTAAAAGTTGCGTTTTAGGTACCCAAGCATACGGTTAGCCTTGTTAGTAATGGAGTCGATGTGAATTTGCCAGCTAAGATTAGAAGTAATATGGACGCCTAAATACTTGTATGATTCGACAATTTCGAGTAGACTACTATCAAGGTGATATGAAGGTAAGTTAGCGGAACAACGAGAGATTCACATGAATTTGAACTTGTTAACATTTAGTGTCATATGCCACGTTTTGCACCAAGAAGTGATAGCGTCAATATCAGATTGAAGTGCATGCACGTCATTGATAGAGGTTATTTCCCGGTAAAGAACACAATCATCTGCGAATAGATGAATCGAAGATGATACACAGTTTGGTAGATCGTTAATATAGACAAGGAAAAGTAATGGCCCAAGTACAGTACCTTGGGGTACGCCAGATATTACAGGGTGAAGGAGAGAGCTGACTTCATTCGCGGTTACAAATTGCTGACGATGTGTGAGAAAGCATTCAAGCCATTTTAGTATGTTAATATCAATACCTATTTTTTTTTAGTTTTAGTAGCAGAAGCTGGTGAGATACCTTATCAAATGCTTTCGCGAACTCCAGATATATACAGTCGGCGGATGATCGGTTATCGAGTATAGATTGCAACTTATGGGTGAATAAAGCCAGTTGTGTCTCGCACGAAAAAGATTTGCGAAAGCCGTGCTGTGCGCGGTGAAAAAAAGAATTTGATTCCAGATAGTTCGCGATATGGGAGAAAAGTATGTGTTCTAGAATTTTGCAAGGAACGCTAGTGATTGATATGGGTCTGTAGTTGTAGGGTGAGTGCTTGTCGCCAGATTTGTGCACGGGAACCACCCTACCTATTTTCCAATCCTGCGGGAGCTCACCAGAATTGAGGGATTGCTGAAAAATTTTAGCGAGGGCGACAGAGGTATAGGCGACAGAGGTATATGTATCTCCGACAACCAGCGTGAGCGACTCGATTACTCTTTCGGAACGCAGGACGAGGTATCCAAACAGAACCATAGCATCAAATATTGCACGATTGAGCACCTTTAAAGGTTGGAGCTGACTTTATAAAGATTGCAGCCTCTGTTCCAGCACGTCGTGACAGCCAGAGCTGCCACGAGCGCAACCATCGTTGATACAATGGCCATGCATCTTTTTCATTTTGAGACTTAAGGTATTTTTCATATTTTTCAATTTGTTACTGGTTTAGTTATTTTATTTAATTGTTCGTTCCCTTTCGCGGTTGAAGACAACACTTTATGTTTTATAATTATTCTTTTTATTTATTTCTGCGCTCACTAGTGTATGCTTCAGCAAGAGACTCTTGGCAACCTTGTACGACAAACAGGGAACGCGCCGGCTGGAGAGTAGATCAGCGTCACCTCGGCGCGCGGTACGAGGTTAAGCCGAAATCCCACTTGCAAAGGTGTATAAGGTTCTTGTACAAAACCATAACGCAACGCTATTACCGGTTTCTAAATCTCACCGGTACCCGCTTGAATTCCCGTTGGAGACATTCGTCGTGGTTTTGCTATGTGCTGTGTGCTTTGGAACCTTGTTCTCACTGTAGTTTGGACGCTACTCTAGGTTTAAAATTGTCATTGTCGCCGTAATTAATTGTTCCAGCAGTAAACGTCGGCGACAAAACGAAGCTATGGTGACGCTCAAGTAATCGGTTCGCCGGTGTTATGAATGACTTCGACGGATACGCCGGCACAATCTTGACCAGGCGGGTAAAGACGGGAGCGGAACGCGACATATCCTGGGAACTAACATATTCGGTTCCGAGAGATGGAGCAAAAAAGAAAGCGGCAAAAGAGCAGAGAAGAAAAACAGACGAAGGGTCAGGCATGTTCCTTTGGCCGCGACAGGTTAAAGCTGCTTGAGCGCTTTCCAATTTTGTTCAATTTTGTCAACGCGCAGTTCCGGTGTTTTTC